TTTTGTTTTCACCAGATATTTGACATAACCATTTGTGGGTATTTTTTTTTTGGTTGTAATTACACTCCAATTAGTCGAGTATATTTATCAAAGATGACCCGTTTCAATAAGTTTATTTATTACGCTTTCACAAAAAGTGGTCTATTATTTATTTTTATTTAATGACATAACAGAAAATATGTTACACTGTTACGAGTAGTCCTTTTTGCTAATATAAATGGAAATAGACTATTGACTCTTCAACGCGATACTATTTAAATGTTCCCAGTAGTTTATGTGATTATGACCGATGATTTAGTTTAGTAGAATCTTTTGCTAGAAGCGAGATTTAGTTGTATGCACATATTACAATGCGTTATTTAAAGCGATCACATGAGTCCGCTTAGACAGTTTGTGTTAGCAAATATATACGAATAGTAAGTGAACTAGATTCAGTAGTGAAAATAACATTCGGATTTATTAAACAATCACAAAATCAATACTTTTTAATATAGAAATATTGTACATACTAGATGTAATTATTAAGAATAAGATTTATTATCATTTTAAGATAATAATAGATATTTGTATTTGTAAGATATGTTTAGATATTGTGTTTGTTTTACCATATCTATATATATAATATACGCCATTGTAATATTCGACTGTTTTACAAAGACGTCCTTGTAAGGTAAAAACAATCATTGGTATAAGGTGTCTATGTAAATTGGTCGAATTATTTTAGTCATTCTATATATTATTATGATATTGTAATATTAGTTTTTAAGTGAGATGCTTTTTCACCGACATATCTACTATATATATATTTTTTCTAAATCGTTTCATCGGTTTTTTTTATAAGAACTTGCCAGCAAACGAGGCGTATAGTAAAACTATTTTTTTTTATTTACTCCGTTAATATAATTATTATTATTATTTAGAAAGGGATGTAAGATGGCAATATTATGTCAACAACTTGGAGATATTACAATTATGATTTGAAAATAAAACAAGTAATTAAATTATAATTAGTTGGTTTATTATTGTTAAAAGACTGGGCAATCTTTCCTTTTATGTTCAAATGAAAATAACATTATCAATTTAAACTTCATAAAAAAGTAGAAGTGAAATTATAAAGAGCATCGAAAGTGTTAAGTAGAGTCATAATATTCATATTATACAACACTAGCTGTTTCCCTACTACTTCGCCTGCATAAGTTATTATACTTAAAGCAGGTGCCAGAATTTAATAAATCAGTAACGTATTTTTGGAGTCTACTCGATGCGAACAAATAATCAAATCTTTCCTCTTTATTAGGTATAGATAAATATTGTGATGTTAATGTGAAATGACGTCACTGGGCGAAATTTACCGCGAGGAAAATAATGTGACATGTTAAAAGTACCCACGTGAATTAGAAATTATGCGTTAACACATTGAATTCACTTTTGCTCCAACGATTACAAAAGGAAAAGGAACGATATAGATTACTAACTACACTAACGTGATAACACTCAACTGATATTTAATAAGCAGGTACCATGAATGCCGTCCGGCGTTTTCCAAGAAGAGTTACTATATCAACACATTATAAAAGTAACTATATATATATACTATATAGTTTCATTCATTAAAATAGCAATACATTCATTCATTTATTCAATACGACTCAAATGTATCAAATTCATCGGTCAACCGACATAAAAGTCCAAAGGGTAAAGTATATACTTTAAAGGGAAAAACAAAGAGTAAAGTGTGGGAATAAACGTTGACAGGTTGACACTTGCCAGTTCTATATTTCGGTGTCCGTTGTGTTTTGAGTTTCTAATAAAATATCGATCAATCAGTAAGTCACGTTTTCGCTTTAAATAATAAACTCACCGTCAGTAGTTTCGCCCGCTATTCTTTGATAGTATTTTTATCCCTAGGAAACCATGTGGTGAGATAAAAAGAAGCATTTACCTAATTTCATAAAAATCCGTTCAGTTGTTTTTGTGTGAAAGAGTAACATACATCCATTCTTCCTTCTAAACTTTGGTATTTATAATCTTATTAGAATGGGATGAGGACCAACGAGCTTAATTTTTTGGCATTCGTTGGTTGTGCCTGTACGCATCATTTTGCAATTGTATTTATATGTAACAAATTAAAGTTATAATTTGGAAGTATTAATTAAAGTTTTGAGTTTGATTTTCTTTTATTTAAATAGCAGGTTGTCAAATTACGTATCAAAATCAAATAGCTGATATTAAATTATAGTTATACTTTGAAGCGTCACATTTCCGACACCAGTATCGTCGTGGGTCAATTGAAGTACCTACTGCTAAAGTGAATTCTTTCCCTATGGATGAAATCAAATAAGGCCCAGTATGGAGTGGTGGTTATTAACGGCTTAACGTGCCTTCTGAAACACGAATACGATTAAAGTTGTAACACCGGTTTTGTTAAATTCTATTAATTTAGATACGGTTTTTTTTCAGGCCGCCATTTTGAAAAGAAAATGTCGGGTCGATCGATCACTCAGGATTTATTATATTGAAATGTCATATTATTTTCCTTGATCACATAACATTGGGTACGATATTATGTCATTGTTTTTATTAATTTTGACGGAAATTTAGACCATTGCATACATATTAATGGAAAAACCTTTGTGGTTTATTTTACCATTTAAATCAACCGTTTATAAATGTTATATCCACATATAATTGCATGCAATATGTATATGAAGTATAAATGTATTTTACGAAAGTATACTTAATTTTTATAGTGTTATTAAAGTCGTGCAATAGTAGAATCAAAATGATATTTGTATATTTTATGGTAGGATGTCAAAGTCAAAATAATCTTTATTCAAATAGACTTATTAAAAATACATTTGGATCGTTCAACATTTTTCCCTTAGTTCAGGACGTCTATTGGCTGATAAAGAGAAGTCTCATATTTAATTATATACAAACCAAACTGTACAATCGGTGGATGGTTTTACCCCATTAATAAAATTTATTTTTCCTTTCAAATTTATTATATTTATGAGATCTTCCTCAACATTTATATCTACATCGTGTTTATAAAATACAATAGAATATTACATATACGAGCAAAGGTTGCCTGATCTTTAAATTCAGGCAATTTATTTGGTTTTTATATATCAAGACATCAAAAATTGTGATCATCCTGTGAATTTAAATGGAGCGATATGTTTTATGTGAATGCAAAACTACGTTTGTGGGACTCTGCATCGGGACTGACATTTAGTATGAAAGCAACTTGGCGAAATTGACTCTGAAACATCTGTAATGTGTTTGAAAGCGCTCTTTTTTGGTTATTTCTTATTTTTATTTAGACAAGTTGTGAGTCCTTCAAATGGAGTTTGATGTCGGATACGAGAAATAATGTTATGTAATTTTTTTAATATTGCGATGTATATAAATCGCATAGAGTGTGTGTGTGAGTGTCGTCAACATGGCTCTTATTGTGTCACGTAATAGATGATTTGTGATTGAGGAATTTTTTTAACATTCATTGACGATTTTGTGCAGACAAAAATCATGGTGGCTTTTAATTGCAGCACAACGTACGTTATACAGAGTGTTCAAGTGTGTATTAGTTACATAGTAAGAGTAATGTTGGATGATTATAAGCTGCTATATTTATTTGCAGTAAAAAGAAATTTTGTAAAAAAACTATTCGGATGTAGAATGCCATATTGTGATTAGTTTAGCTACACGAAGTATTTTTCAAATAAAAATATCTATGTATAAACGATTACGTTGTTTTATTGTTGGCTGTGTAATTTCAACTCTGCACCACCTACCGACATGAAACACCAATGAGGTTTAAATTATTTTTTATTAATATTTAGTTAAGGTAGTGAAATTTAATAAAAAAAAATGCTTGATACGATAACATTACATTTTGCACTCGACAATTTTCATGTTAAAGGATCTCTATTAATATAATTATAATTTGGTAGGAGAAAAAGATATATAAACATCTTTTTCTCCTACCAAACTGTCTGTTGGATATGGAAAGTACGCGAGTACGTAAATAATAAAAATGATCACACTCAGCATCTCACAAATATGGTAACATTGTAACGTAAACTGGTGCTTATTGCTTAGATTTTTTTAAGCACAGGCTATAATAATGTACTAGCTTTGCACCAGCGGCTTCGCTCGCGTGGTTTTTCCGTTTTTGTAACATATTTCATACTGATATTGGTAAGCGTAATGTTATAGCCTTCCTCAATAAATATTTCTACAATCCGAACTCAGTATTTTCTGAGATTAATGCGTTCAACCAAACAATTAAACTTCAGATTTATAATATTGTAACATAGTAAAAATAAATATATAAATTATATAATGAAGTGCAAAATGGCTACTAACTCTAATTCGTAGTTCAATTATTGAATATGAAACCATTTTTATTTCGTAACAACGCTGCTATATCCATTATAGAAATGAATGTTATCCATCTTATGTGGGACAGGAATTCCAATGTGGCAGACAATATACGGCTTTGGATAATATCCTGTGTTTTGATTACAGGCTTTAGAGTGCGTTCTTATCTTACATATTAAGATTTTTATTTGCATCAAAGCCTGCTATTTAAGCTTTTTATCGTAGTCGACTGTAATCTAGCTTGTTAAAATAGCACGCTTTCCTACGTTACTGGGTCAGATCGGGTGTTTGAACCTGATCTCGTGTTGAGGCCGGCATGTTATGCAACTAACCTATTTCGAGGTTAAGGAACCATAAACCACGTGGGTATTGCGACTGTTCCTTTGGTTCAGTGTAAGACCATGTTTGAATTATAGATGCAAATAAGGACAGATTGTCTTAGCTTGATAATTATGGTATTTTTTTTAATAAATAAGTAGTTTGATGTGTCATTCTGCATGTGTGTACTGGCCGGTGCAAGCCAATAGCGGTTCGCATCTATGACACACCTTCGCGGGGTTTTAAAAATGGAACGATGCGCGCGCCGGCTGCGGCGGTATCGAGCGGACGTCAACCGCTCTGTCAGTTGTCAGTTGCGAGCGTGAACGGGCGAGTGCGTGCCGTGTTGCCGAGAGCTCTGCGATGGCTCTGCTCAGACGTTTGGCCGTGAACGCGCCGCGAAATGTACGTGTGCTGTCTGCCGGCTCGTCGCCTGTGCGCGACGAGCTGGATCTCAACTTCAACAGTCCGAAGGATGCCTTCAAGAGTAAGAAGACGAGCGAACTGGTGCGGGCTTACCTCGTCTACCAGATATGCTCCGTCAACTGGATAGTGGAGAACAACGACATGGTGAGTGAATCACGGCTCAGCTGATAGGTTATGTAATGTAATGGTAATGTTTACGCCGGCTCGGAAATAACCGACCTTGCGTTGTGGTACTGATTGGTTGATGGATGACCACCCGACTTGGTCGTTTTTTTGCGCGTGCAACGTAACGTTTACGTCGAATTACCGTGATTCGTTTTGCTGATTTTGTTCGCACCGTCGCATCGATTTTGTGTCACGGTACCAGGCTGTTATGGGTGTCGAGGAGATCGTTAGGGGCTCGTGTCCAATCGTAGATGAATGGAAATAACTTCGGGCTGAACGCATGCGTCGTACCGCCGGGGGTTTGCCCAGACACCTGTCTGTAGAACCGGTTTTGAGGGCACACTGCTAGACACCACTTATATAATTTTTCTACACTTCAGTTTTTTGCGAAAACCCTGATTTTACGATCTTAGAATTAATTACACTTAAATGTCAGGTGCTAATTAAGTTAGATCGGATTGGATGCTAAGCCAATGAATGCGATTACTTAAAGTCTTGTGGGTACTATGGGAATAATGGTATTTTCAAATGAGTACCTACGTGAGAAAAATTATTGTGATTCTATCACAGGACGTGGCTTTTGATTGTTTTGATTTGTGAAGCGTAACAATCAATACATTATTAAATTACAAAGTCACATTGTCTGTAGGTAGTTCAGAATAATGATGGAACAAAGTTTGTAGATTTTATTTCAGCAGCTATTCATTTGACGTTCGCTATTACTGGGTAGTCGTGTGCTTAAGAAAATATGCCTATAAAAGTTTATGAAAATGTTCACGGAATAATGTTTTATTCTACAAATATCTTTCCATTTATTAAGACAACTCTAGAAATTTATCTGTGCTAATATTAAAATGAGAAAATCCTTCTTGTTTATTTGTTTGAAACTACTGTACCCAATTTAATATTTTTAGACCTACGAATAGCTCTTAATTGGGTGACATAGGTTAACAGTTTTTTATACGTTGATACCGGATAGGGTAGGTAAGGAGCTCGATTGGCGCAGTGTTAAGCGCTTTCGGTTGCGATTGCAAAGGTCAAACATCTTTTGCAAAGGCCGGTCGTGGAATGGGTGACCAAAAATTTAATATCTCCACCTTTTTCGTGCTACAAAAGACGCGTTCAGTCGTTGGTGGTCATAATCCATCAGTCAATCATTCATTCATTCACCATGTGGCCATCCATACGGCGGCCTTGTACTTCAGTAGAGGGGACATTAATAAGCTGATAATGAAGAATATGACTAGATTGCATACTAAATTATTATAAGATGTAGCCAACCAACAGCTTAGCAGGTCTTCCGAAGCTCGATTTCATAAATTAATGGTCACCCATCCGTAGATTGGCATTTGTGAAAGTTACTTAACCTCGAAAAAATTGCATCGATAAAAAATCTGCAGTCTGCGGGGTGCCAAACGTTTTCGAATCGATTGTTGTGACGTAATCATAGCAGATATAGAGCCTACTTTCACAAGTACGAAAAAAAAGTGCCGATCAAATTCGCGCAGACGCCCGGGAGCCTCGATGTCTTAGCGGTAGAAAGTTGCGGTTTGACAGAGGACAGAGATTAGCTGGTTTGAGTCTAGTTTTTGCGTTGAAAATATAAATTATGACATCTCCAGTCATCCAATTAGTGTGTCTAAGAAACACAAAAGGCGAGCTCAGTGTCTAGGGCATAATATGTTAATATATAAGATCTTGGAGATTGATTATAATATACATAACGAAAAATACAAAAAAAAAAAAAACACCGGCCCTATGTACGCCGCAACGGGACTCTATTGATTATATTATAACAATTTCAAATTACACCGTGGAAGTGAACATATGCTACGAACGAGAAATATTCATTTAAAGAAGGGAAATATTTGATCCTTAAGGTGTGAAATAAATGAATCCTTTTGGATTTTCGAAATTACGTATTGCTCTTCCGTTTGGAAACATATGGGATATAACAGTAACGTTGTTCCCGAACAATTTTCTATAGGTATTTGATACAAGAATAATTCGTTCGCACTCAACAATGTGAAAAAAGACATCTATCTAGTAAATGTATACTAATATTATAAAGAAACTATTGGACATATTTTAAAAATTCTTTCACCTTCAGGAAGCTATTTCCTACGCGGACAAAGTCGCGGGATAACACCTAGTTTCATTATGAATCAAGTAAAAATAAAATGAAAGTTAAGTGAATCCAAATAAACCTTTCATATACACAGGCTATTATATGACGTCTGTTGTGAGTGTGACCTCTAGTTATTATTATACTAATATTTTAACGGTGAAAGCCTGTATGTTTGTATGTTTATTAGGTACTTAACGCAAAAAGTACTGAATTTCGATAAAATTTGATATAATTATCATTCTACACGTGGATTAATATATAGGCTTTTATCCTACTAAAGGATTCCCTAAAGATAACGGAAGGTACCGTTAGATCATTCAATATCATAAAAATAATAATCATAGATACGAAGTATCATAAAAATTGCTATCTCATTTATAAATATTCAGAAAAGTATATATTTTTATTTATATTAATATGTATTATATGTATTTATTTTATCTTTATGCCTATAAAATAGCAAAAGGCGGACCTAATGCCAAAAAGGCATTCCCTACCTGTCAAACGGGTGAAGATGTACAGAGCATTCAAAGGGCAGTATCATAAAATACAAATATATACATACACACTATGAACATATATAAAAATACATTATGTATATACATACATCAAATCAGACTAGGATACACGAATTGATTGGAGATCTCGCACTTCTCTCTTAAATGCGAAACTGTTTGACGCATTCTGGATATTATATATATGTATGACGTATATGTGTAAGGTATATATTCTCTTCCTCATTATATGTCTGTTTGTATTAAACTTTTTTTTTACCGTTTGCAACTGCTTTTATAGTTTATTTTAATCTCGACATCAAGTGAAGGTTAACTGGCAGAGAATGCTGGAGAATGAGAATACTGGGCCGATTTTTTTAAACCTTTCAAGCTACATACATTAGGGGGCGTCCATAAATTACGTGAGATGTTTAAGGGGGGGAGGGGGTCGAGGCAAATCTCATCTAATCTTACGTTGGAGAGAGGAGGGGTCTCGGTAAATATCACGCAATTTTTTTTTCTGATTGAAACAAAAACAAAAAAATACTATTTTGGTTCATTTAATCCAGATTGTGCATGCTTAAGATTTAATCTTAAGCGTAATCGTATACGATTAAGATCATTCACTAATTCGTTCAAAAGAAAATAATTTCATTCATACTTCGACACTATACATCTACTGAATGTCAAACCACCATATTTGTAGGGTTCGAACGATACTTTCGATATAGAGTAGGCATCGATACTTTCAAAAGCTATACTCGATACTACAACAAGGCAAATACTCGCAAGTACTCATCAAATTGCATTTTGAAAAATCTCACGTGAGATTGGGGAATGGGGGAGGCGGTTGAATAAAATCTCACGACATCTCACCAGGGGGGGAGGGAGGGTCAGAAAATTAAAAAAAACACCTCACGTAATTTATGGACGCCCCCTTATACGCATCCATAGGCTGTAAATTACGCGGGCGAGGTCGCGGTTAAACATAGTATATTTAAATAGTAAAAGAGATAAATTTGAAAACATCGTAGCAGTGTACTGAGGAAACAATGCATCTATTTACGTAAATCCCATATTTATATTTTATCGTATAGAATATAGTAAAGAACGTTTGATTGGGTAATTTCCTAGGGATTTCAAGAGTACAAATATGTATTAAAGTGATTTTGGTGCTTGGTGATTTGGGGTCGTCCATTGATCACGCGAGGCTCGAAGGGCCCCCCCTTATATCCACTGTAATATTTAATTAGCAGTAAAATATTTTGTTTTTTATAGTGTTGATATGAATGGCTAGTGTTAAAATTAATGTTTATGTGTAGTAAATTTGTGGTTTATGAAAATTTTCATTAAGAATATGATATACTTCGATCAGATTCAAATGTTCAAATTCTTTAGGAAATAAAGCCCTTGTATTTGAAATAACGAAGTTGTTACGACGCCCACGTTTGAGATAATATAGAAATGCTTATATTCTACAACTAGTGATAGAAAGGACTCGAGTCTTTTAGCCTTTGCTAAAAGTCTAAAAAGACTTGCAGCCTTATTCTGTCAATAAGGCTAGAATGCTAAATGGGTTTTAAGCCCTCGAGGTTTATTTAAAAAAGGCTCTTAGCTAGTGATAAAAAGACTCGAGCCTTTTTTTAGTTTAGTTTCCTTTTTAAACTCGCAGTCTTAATGACAAGGCTAAAAGAGTAAATAGGCTTTAAGCCCTCGAGGTATATAAAAAAAAGGCTTTTGGCTCCTTCCTTCCCCTCTTTGGGGTGGGTCATGAGATATAAAAAATGTAGTGAATGATACAGGAACGAAAAAAGTAAGCTTTATATTTATTATCTAACGATTAAAAAAATATTTACATTTATACAATATATTTCCGGTATACCAACTCATTATTTATTATTATCATTGTTATTATTATTTATTATCATTTTTATCAATTCTAGATAACCTGACTAGGCTTTTTTTTTTAATTACAACTAGCTAAAGCTCCAATTACAATTCCAGCCTTCAAAAAAGGCTCAAATTTAAAAAAAGGCCAACGTATAAAAAATACTGGAGCCCTTTTTAGTATGGAACTCTTTGGTTGGCCTATTTTATGAGTACGTCTTAAAAAGAACTCTAAGCTTTATAATTAAACCTAAAAGGCTCGAGTCTCTCTCTCTCTCTCTATCTCTCTCTAAATCGCATAGAAATAAAAAAAAAATATTGTAGGTATAGAACCCAGGATTTCAGTGATGACATCCCTTTCTTGATGAATGAGATATGTTTCAAACCCTTGACTAAAGGAAAATGGTTCTGGCGGTTTTATCAAAAACTACTGTACCGGTTTAAAAAAATACATCCATATACTTAAATAC